GGAAGGAAGAAAGAAAAGAAAAGAAAAAGAAAGAGAAAGAAAGAAAAAGGAAAGAAAGAAAGAAAGAAGAAAAAGAAAGAAAGAAAGGAAAAAGAAAAGAAAGATCTGCCATAGCTACACTCCATCCACCAGGAGGAATTTCCAGCTACCCTGACCCACATCAGGCATTAATTTAGGAGTTCCGTGAACTCAGATTGGGGGAACGGTTTTCCTTTTTTCCAAAAATAACACTTCGCTTTATGAGCCCTGCCGAAAATGCACCAAGAGTCAAAACAACTGGCAAGTGATTTATAACGCTGTATCCTGGGCAGTTCGGGAGCCCTCCTGGGTCCAAGGGACCCCATTGTGCAGGTGTGGAATAGAGGTGTGGGTGGTCAGGGGCTGCTCGGGGAAAAATTACTGGCCCCAAGGCAAATGGCACGAATTAGAATTTTGGTCAAGAGCTGCCCTTCTGAGAAACCACAATTATTTTCCTGGCGATCTCAGAGATTTCCTCTATGACCCTTTCTTCTGGGTTAACGCTATGGGCAGTGAGTAGCTGCTTTTATACCTTCTAGAAGGACAGGAGAGAAGAAAATCCACACACCTAACCTCACTAAAGTGGGAGACTTCAACACTAGCAGCTTTACAAGGAAACGAGTGGTGGGCTGCATCTATTGGGGGGGGACCAAAAAGTGGAATTTAAGAAGAAATGATGGGAGGGAAACGAAGCCTGATGAACCAGCTGACTTCTAAAGAGAAAAATCATCTCTTCTCCTCCCCCTGCCCTTCGCCAGGTATAATGTTCCCCGTCTTGGGGGCTAACTGGTGTAAGTGGAGGGCTTGGAAGGCTCAGATTTCCGCTCGCTCCAGACTGGGCTGTTTATCCACTCTGCAGCCCATCGCCTCCTCGGCTGCTCATCCTTCTGTCTGCTTCTCAGGAGCCAGGTCAGCCGCTTTCATTTTATGGTGAGTGTGCGTAAGAAGCCTGCAGACAAAAATGCAATTCCAAATTGCCTGGCCCCAGAGTGTCAGAAAGAAAGAAAAGCAGGGAGAAGTTGAATGCCAAGTTGAATACACGGGAGAAGCCACTGGAAGAGCTTCCTTCTTGGTTGCAGGAAAACCCTTTTGGTCTCAAAGCCTCTTCCCTCATTGGTAACAGGAGGGGTAATGAGGGTTGTCATGGGGATTGAAGGAGATGTGTGATGCACCCAAAGGGGCAGGTAATATCCTTGGTCAGTAGCAACCGTTCTGTGATTAACAAGAGAATCTGGCTTTGTTAAAAGGTGTTGAGTTCTTGCATAACTCAGTCCGAGTACCTACAAATGGTTCTCACACGGAGAGTCCCCTGCCATCCCCCCAGGACTGGAAGCCCAGCCCTATCCCCCCACCGGTCCCTGTGTTCGAAGAAGCATTTGGAGTGTTCAACAATGAATGTCTTCTAATATTTGCTCATTGATTCCTTTTTAAAGATAGACCCTCTCCTTCCCCAACTGGACTGATCACCGCATGAGGGCAGAAGCCCATCTTAACATCCGTGTTCCCAACACAGAGCTGGGCAATTGGCAGTGGAATGTACTCAGTAGATGTTTAAACGAATGCATGAAAAAAGTAACCGCCGAAACACTGAGCTACCCCGTCGCCCTCACCACACGCCTGCATTGCACACTGCCACGGGCGAATTGATCACTTAACAAAAACCCAAGTGCCCCCGCTTACCTTCTCTAGATGTAGATTTACCCATCGCGTAAAGGTCCTCTTCTGCACATTTTCCCTCTCAACTGAAAACAAAGAAATGCTATTAGCTGGGTAAAATGGAATACATGCAAAATGCTGTTCTCCTCTTCCCCAGGGGGATTCCAGGTGGATGGCAGACGGACCCCGGCGGGTCCCCTGTATAAGCGAAGCCCTTTCCAGAACGGGGTCTGCAACGGCTTGCGCGGCACCTAGAATCCATTCTTCCCAGCCCAACCCCACAGCCTCTTAATGACAATAAATAACCACGAATTCAGACACACAGAACAACATGTTCTTTCCGATAGGAAAACGGGGGCACCTGCCCAACATCACACAAGAAGTAAGGTTATTCCCATCTTACAGATGAAGAAACGGAGGGACAAACAGCTAATACGCAGCCAAGCTGGGAATTGGGAGCTGGATTCCGTGCGTTTCCTGCTGGCTCCTGAGCTCTGCGACGTTAGCTGGCTTGGTGCCCTGGGACCCGGACCACGGGCGGAGGTGCCAGTGCCTGGGTCTATGTGCTCACTGGCTTGTGGCAGCAGCCCCCCACCCCACCCCGAAGCTCAGGCTGCTCCACCCCTCAGGAACCTTCCTTGAAATGCCTGAGCCAGATGACTCCTGAGTTACTAAGTTCTGGATTTCAACATATTGGAAGAACATATCACATATGCTTAAAACCATTCCACATTTCTTTAGCAGTAAGAAAATGGGAGGCAATTTATCTCCGGGGGGAGCCAAGGGGCTACGGTTTTCTATAACGACTATGGTTCTTTTTCCCTCTCAGCCTCATTATTGGGTAGATAGTGGTGGCCATAAATCAAATTTTAATATTATGGCTTTCAATCTTTTTAATTGAAGAGCCGGCAGACAGTAATTATGCACTTAACTGCTTTTTTCTCATATTCCTCCTTTTCTGTAAGGAAAGGTCACTTAGTAAGGAGGCGTAGGAATTAAAGATCTAGTTCCAGTAAATTGTGTTTTGTGGGTAGAAGAGGAGGAAAGGAAAAGAAGTTGACAGAAATGTGGGAGGAGGGAGAGGGGCATTTGCTGAGGGCCATGTGCTCCAGAGACTCGGAGCTTTCCAGAAGACTGGAGAGTGCCCTGCCGCCAGCCCCACTTGGGACCTTTCTGCTTCTGCAGTGTTTGCCATAGTATGGGTGTCCCATAGCTCAGCGGCCACCCCTCTGCGGATGGCACTTGGCAGTTTCTGGTGTTTCATGGTCACGAGCAGTACGGCAGTGCACATCCTTGTGTAAGTGCCCTGCTAAGTGGTTCTTTGTGCACAAGCCTATGAATATATGTCTTATGCCTGACAACTGAAAGTGGAACTGCAGGGTCTTAGTGGTAGGCACATTTAAAATTTTAATAGCTACTTCCAAATTGCCATCCCAAAAGGCTGCCCCGGTTTATACTTTCACCCCCACCTGTCTTTAAACAAGTTTATGGGATTGTAAAGTATTTACACACACATTCAAACACTCAGGCTGGTTTCTCCATATGGCTTCAGAGGGAGCGAAGTACGTCCCCTGAAACAGAAGTGCATTCAGTGAAAGCCTGAGAGAACCTGGTTTAGACTGTTGGTTTAACTATGCGCGCGGAAGGGTACAAAAGAGGAAGTGGGTGTCTGTTAGTCTATATATGCCTCATGTATCCATCCAGCCACCCATCTGTCTGTCCATCCACCCAACCATGTATCCATCCATCCACGCATTCATCCATGCACCCATGCGTCCTGCTACCTATGCATGCATGCATCCATTCTTCCTTCCATCCAACCATGTATCCATCCATCCTACCATCCACCCTTCCACCCAACCATGTATCCATCCAACCTTCTATCCTTCCATCCATGCATCTATCCATCCTTCCATCCATCCATGCATCCTTCCGCCTATGCACCCATCCATCCATCCATCCATGCAGCCTTCCTTCCTTCCATCCAACCATGCATGCATCTATCCATCCACCATGTATCCATCCATCCATCCATCCATTTCCATCCTCCCAGCTGGTATTTAGTCAGTGATCATTACACGCCAGCAACTATGCCAAACCCTATGGGCAAAATCAGAGATAAATAACACATTCATGGTGGGATGCCTCGGCGGCTCAGAAGGCTAAGCGTCTGCCTTCGGCTCAGGTCATGATCCCAGGGTCCTGGGATCAAGTCCTGTATCGGGCTCCTTGCTTGGCAGGGAGCCTGCTTCTCCCTCTGCCTGCCGCTCCCCCTGCTTGTGCTTGCTCCTCCCCCCTCTCTGACAAATAAATAAATGAAATCTTAAAAAAAAACCACATTCATGGAATCTGCACTCCAAGAACTCACAGCCAAGCAGGAGAGAAGACATGGATGCTACAAGGCACATATGCATGGCAAAATAAATTACAAATTTCCAGGGCTGATGGGGATGAGAGGAGGTAATTTCAGACCCCAGGGGTGTAGAAGTAGAAGGCTACCCCAGGGGGGTAGACGTAGAAGGCAGAAGTCTTCATTTCCCTTCCAGCCACGGCCTGTGGGTGAATCTAAGCACAGATGAGCTTTGACAGCAAAGCTGACCCATGGGAGGGCACCGTGATGACTAAAGACACCAGGGGACCACGAGACTAAATCACAAATAACGGATGAGTCCCAAACTGAAATAGGGTATGGAGACCATAATTTCTGGACCTGAAACTGGGACACATCGCTCAATACACAGGAGAGAGAGAAAGAGAGACTGTGAGAATTTAGCCTGCCCCAGAATATCCACCTGAGAGCCACATACCACTAGCTTTGCCACCTTGGGCAAGTTCATGACTGCCGACACACCCTTGCCTCAGTCTCCTCTGTACAGAAGGGAGGGTAACTGTGCCTCCCTCAGAGGCATGCGGTGAAGGTTCAAAGGTATCACCCCACGAGGCTTCCCCGAACGCTGCTCAGGGAAGACCACCTTCCCTAGCCTCACGGTCACACAGCGCGCCCTCGGCCTGCAGTATTCTGTCTGCTGTCCCGGCACAAAGGTCTGACATTCTTTCATGACCTTCACCATTTCGAAATACCCACCCCCACCCTGCAGGCTCTTTCTACTTCTGGCCTGCCAAGACTCCATAAACTTTATATAGTTTCCATAAATCCAGTGGCCCCTTTTTTCCTCTGCACCTATCACATTGTAAAGGTGTAGGGAGCTATTTCTCTGGAAGGGTCTGGCCTTTTCACGGAGTGTCTGTGGGGCCCGGACTGGGTGTGCTGGGCAACAGCAGAGCAATAACAGTGTTGTAAAAGCACCATCCAAGTGCGGGGCGGGGTGGAGGTTGGGGAGCTCGCCAAGCCTGGGACCCACTGGATGCAGGCAGAAAGGGAGGCCCAAGCTTTTGGCACAAAGCCACCATCCTGAATCCCCCTGCGTGACTCTGGCCAAGAATAGGGGCGCCTGGGTGGCTCAGCTGGTTAAGTGTCCAACTCTTGATTTCGGCTCAGGTCATAATTTCGGGGTTATGAGATTGAGCAGAGCCTGCTTGCGATTCTCTCTCTCCCTCTGCCCCCCACCCACTCACGTGCACGCATGAGCAGTCTCTCTCTCTCTCTCTCTCTCAAAAAAAAAAAAAAAAAAGAATAGGCAACTTCAAAATGTGACCTTCCTCCCTTCTCAGGCCACCGGTGGCCAGCTAAGGAGCCGGGAGCCACAGAGAGAGGGACGCTGGCTTGAGAGTTAAAACAGACTGATTTACACGATGGCCTTCTTTCCCTATGGCCACACTTCCCTTAAACCTACTTCCTCCATAACATTTCCTCTATTATATTTCTGCTCTTCCCCACCCAGGACAAAGCCCTGAGGGCTTATCTGTCTATAAATATGTGCTCATAATAAAAAAAATAAAATACAGGAAAGCACAGAAAAATAGATCTAAAATCTGTTAAAATCTCATTACACCCAGAGATCACCACTATTGATAATTTGCTGATTGTCCTTCTAGAGCTCTCCATGCAAGCACACTCACACTCACACACACACACACACACACACACACATACACAGCTGAAGCACGAAGACACTCATGTACACAACTTTAATGCGATCAGCAAATGCCTCGGTGTTTCTCCAAAGTATGGCCCACCGTTCACTCACACCAAGAGCTTCCAGGGTGACAGTTAACATGCTAATTCCTGGACCCCATCCAAGACCTACAGACTCACTCTTTCTGGGGCCAAGGCCTGGGAACTTGCATTTAATCAGCCTGCTGGGTGACAATGCGGCACACTTTGAGAACCCGGGTCTAACTGGGGAGAGACAACTGGCACAATCTCTTGGTTATGTTCAGGCAGCATGTGGGGTGCACCGGGCCTGTCACCTGGCATGGAAGGAACAGGCCGTCCAGAGCCCGGTACACAGGCTGTACCAGAGACCAAAGATGGGGACGCAGGTACGGTTCCTGGCTTGCCTACTGCCAACCGGCAAGAAAAATGGCATTTCTCGTTCCTTCGTCGTCCAAAGGGCTCTTCCTGAGAGTGGCTTTAGTCACTGATTTCGTACATCTCTCTGACTCCCCGAGAGATGAACCAGAATTTACTAGAAGGACCGCAGACCAGAATTCCCGCAGGGGGCCTTCATTCTGCAATGTCCATTCAGATGGTCAGCTGGGAGCGTTTCTTTCCAGCTTCCGAGGCATTGCCTGGTCCGAGGTGGGAGGCAGATGGGCAGGCTGAGGCCTCGTTGCTCTCCTCCTCGGCTGGGCTGCTGGTCTCCCAGCTCCAACCCCACCTCCAGGAAGTCCTCCAGCTTTCTGGCGACCTTGGGCCCACTCCCCACGCTGGGCAGGCCTGCACGGGCTGGAGTCCCCTCCAGGCCTGGCTCCCAGCCAGTAGTGCTCAAGCAGGGGTGCCTCTGCCCCCACGGGACACCTGGCAGCATCTGGGGAGTTCTGATCGCCACGGAGCGGAGGGTTCGACTGGCATCTACAGCTTGAGGCCGGGGACACGGCTCCACACCCTAGCGTGCACAGGACGGCCCCCACCAGAGAACAGATTTATCCGGTTTGGAATGTCAGCAGCGTCCAGGGTGAGAAG